TGGTGATGAGCGACACATCAAGCCCTAAAAGCAGTTTAACTGGGTCCAAAGATTTCAGTAGTGGACGCTCGGCTCAAGCAAGCTCGTCTTCGGTTGGAGTAGACTCGTCCGATAGAGATCAAGAGGAGGTTCGCGTTACTGCACCTCGTTTCGAGCAATGGTACGACACGTGGGACTCGTTCCGCGCTAGTTTGGTCGAGTATCAAATGCGAACGTCTCAGTTGTATAGAATTCGCACTACGGTCAAAGCTACAACGCGAAATCAAATATCAAGGCGAAGAAAAAGTGGAGCGAGGACGAACTGATCCCGGAGACATTCGGAGATTACTATAAAAATTCTTTTGTGCACGCATGGCTGGGATAAAAGCTCGAGGGGAAAAGGCCATCGATCTGGATATCAACCACTAGGCACAAGCTGCGAGGTTATTCTATGTGCGACGGTTATGCGCTTCCCCGAAATGCACACCTTTCGTTTTTGTGTGACAAAGCACAAGAGAAACCACAATCATAAACTCAGCAAGAAAATCTTCGAGAACTACCCGTCCAGCAGAAAGGTGACCGACCCGGACGTCCTGGATCTGGTTGAAGAACTCATCAAAGTTGGGGACAAGCCAAAGAAGATCCTGAAGTACCTCCAGGAGACGACAGGTACAAATATTACCTTTATCGTACAGCACTGACAAGACTAACAGGGCTCTGCGACGTGACGTGTTGTTGATACAGGAAAGCGCATTATATTGCGTGACGTCCACAACTTAGTGCAACGTATCAAGGCTAAGTGCCGTGGGTCCGGGACTGTGGAGGATCGTTTAGAGGCTGTTCTCCGCAAGTTTTGTAGTAACCGGGGAAATACTGCTACCGTTCTAATAGACGATGCCAAGAGGACGCAAACCATCACGATTCAAACTTGACAAATGAAGCGGGTTTTTTTAGGCGTTTCCTGAGGTAGTCATGCTGGATTCGACAATGCACCAACGCCTCCAAGTATAAGCTCTTTAGCTTCATGATTGACGATGTCTTTGGCCATGTAAGTGTTCATTCTTTTGGTGACCCGTAGTTGAACAATTGGTGATCTGTTGGTGATCTGTTGGTTGATCACGTGACTAGTTGATGCTGAAAATCTAACTGATTTCGTCGCGTTATGTGTGTTGCTTTCATGTGTTATTACAGGGACAATATGTACAACACGCTCCGATTGAGAATATGAGCCATGCCTCTATGTCAAAGGCGGTGTATGAAGGGCGAAATGCAGTCAATGTGAATGGCGTTGAGGACGCTGTGGACTTGATGGTAAAGGCACAAGATGACAAGGAGTACGACCGCGGTTTACGCTACATGTACTATCTTCTCGATGGATTTGGCGAAAAAGGAGAACTCCCGGAGCCAAAACACCCTCTTCTCGTTTATTTCATGCGCAATTGGGATGCTTGCAAGGACATGTGGGCAGTTTAGGAACGGGGACACGTCGCTCATCTTGGTAGCCACACCAACAACCGGTAGGTTCTATCTTACGAATTTCATTACATGTATAATACTTTCAGCTCATGTTTACCATCGTATTAGATTGGAATCGGCGTGGGGTGACCTGAAGCAGATACTACGACCGGAAATGGAGCTCGATGAGTGTGTCGAAACGCTTATTCTCTTACAGTCGACGGGTGAGCTCGAATATACTTCTCAGTTCCATGTTGTCGGGTCACGGCACTACCGCGGAGCTGACGACGTTTTACTTAGATCGGCGTCTTTAGTTAGCCCTCATGCGTTTAACCTCGTCCAATGGGAGTACGAGCTTTT